GATGGTTTAAAAAGCACAAGAATAAATACAGGTTAAGCATCCCTAATCTGAAACCTGAAATCTGAAATGCTTAGAAATCCAGAACTTTTTGAGCACTAACGTAATTCTCAAAGTTTCAGAGTTCAGGCTTGCTTAGATGTGCTAGGCCCTGGATTTGATGCCCAGCAAACACACACAACACACACTTTCAAATTTTAGAGCTTTTCAGATTAGGGATGCTAATCCAGCAAAGTCTATGCAAATATCCCAGGCATTTTGAGTAAGGGACATTCAAGCTATAGAGGAAAAAATCCTTTATAAAAATAATACTCATAGTAAATAAACTTGCTCCCTACTCCCACATATTTATCTCATGTGTCTATAATTTAAGTCCACCTGTTTTTTATCTGGTTGGCTTTGAACTGAGATCCTGCTATGTAGTCAGAATGATCTTAAACTTACAATCCTCCTGCCTCTGCTTTCCAAAAGCTGGGATTACACGCTTGCCACCATCCCAGCTCAACTACTCTGTGTGTGTGTGTGTGTGTGTGTGTGTGTGTGTGAGAGAGAGGGGGGGGTACTGGGGATCAAATCCAGAGTATGCTTAAGCACTAGGCAAGTGTCCTCCCACTTAGCTGTACCTCCAGCCTTCCGTCTACTTTCTATAAGCTTATTTCTTGTATTTTTGAGGGGAGACTTGTTATAACAAACACTAAGCAAGAAAACAAAAAAAAAAGAAAATGAAAGAGATAATTGTTAACCCTAATTTTTAGAAGTTCATATTCTTTTATCTAGGTTTTCTTTTAAGGTTTTCTTTTTTTTTTTTGGCTGGACTAGGATTTGAACTCAGGGCTTCATGCTTATAAAGCAGGCTCTCTACCACTTGGGCCACACCTCCCATCCATTTTACTCTGGTTATTTTGGGATGCGAGTGGGGGGGAGTCTCATAAATTATTTGCCTAGATTGGCCTCAAATTGCAATTCTCCCAATCTTGGCCTCCCAAGTGAGCCACTGGTGCCTGGCTAAATATTGTCCTTTTTTGTTTTGGTTTTTTTGGCAGTTATAGGGGGGTGAACTCAGGGCTTGTGCTTGCTAGGCAGGCACTCTACCACTTGAGCCACTCCATCAGCTAACAGTTTTCGTTAAACCTGTCCCACCAGGAGTGATTAGAATTCCAGAGCACACGGCCATAATAAGGAAAGACTCTGATGAATTTCTTAAGAGCAAAATGACAGAACCTAGAGGCGAATGGAAGGAAGTGAAAATGCCTCCAGCATGTAATCCAGTATGCCTTTCAAAACGCTGGAATTTTTAAAGGGTCTGATATCCTACTTTAACCATGCAATAACTTTAATGAAACTTAAGCAAGCCTCACAAAAACAAATTAACACTTTATCCAGTGCCCAATCACAAGACCAGATTTCCTTATGCCTTAAATCTAGTGAGAGTTAAATATTTTTAAACAAGTCCTTAGACTTCAGTAAGCCCTTAGACTAGTTCTGATGATAAGGCAGTCTTGAGATATTCTTCGTCACAGTGACCATTAACAGAAACACACATCTGCACAGTACGATTCTGAAGCTACTTTCAATCACAGACCTTCCATTCAGAAATGATCACACCAACTGCTTGAGCAGCAGGCTGCCTCTGGAGCCTACCTGCAGAGGTCTGCAGGGAAAGAACAGTCCTTTACAGGGACCTGCCCTCCCATGACACTTTCTGTATCTTAATAAACCATCTTCCATGCTCCAAGGATGTCATGTATCCTGCATGTTGTACAGGACTGACCGACCATAGGTTAGACTGCAAATGTCAAGACGACTGAAATACAGCTGCCAGGTGCTGGTACTCACACCTGCAATCCTAGCTACTTGGGAGGCTGAGATTGGGAGGATTGAAGTTCAAAGCCAGCCTGGGCAAATAGATCATCATATCCCATCTCCAAAACAACCAGAGCAAAACAGACTGGAGGTGTGGTTGAAGCAGTAGAGCACCTGTTTTATAAGCATGTAAGCCCTGAGTTCAAACCTCAGTTTCACAAAAAAATAATAAGAAGAAGACCGAAATACAATAATCATTCCATTGTGCCAAGTACCCCCAAGGAACTGTGAAAGGTGGCTCCATTGTAGATGACCAGGTATTTTGTCTCAGCATGTCCAGAGGTAGCAGGACTCTACTTAATACCACTGAAATGTGCAACCAATTAACAGACATTTCAAGTAATGAAGCCTCAACAAATGGCTTGAGAGAGTCAGTGTGTAGTCACCTGAAATCTAATGAGCAGGGTACAGAAAGGCATTTTCACAAGCATCAGTAGATTACGCTAGCTGCGCACACACTAAGTTCTCATACAAGGTCTGTCTTGAGCAAGTTGAGAGCATTCAAACTCACGACATGTTCCCAGGACACAAATGTCTCTGTGGAAAGCTGGGCGCCAAGTCAGGTGATCATTCATGAGGATAAATGCCTGACAGGAGAATCTTTTTCATAAACCTGTTTTCCCCTCCTGCAGGTAACTAATGAATGAAAGTTCCATTTTATCAGCTCCCCATAAAGACCTAGATTCCAAAGTAGTTTACAAAAATCTCATCCACCACATTTACAGTCTTTCCACATTTAAACTTGGAGGATTAGTTTATATATAATTTTTACTCAGACACTGAAGGTGTGGTTTAAGAGGTACAGCATCTGCCTCAGAAACACAAAGCCCTGAGTTCAAATCCCAGAACTGGAAAAAAAAATTCTTTCACATAATTTCTACTCAGAAGCAAGTTTTTATTTGTATTAGCACATTAATAATACATTTCTCTAAGCACTGAAATTCCAGGGGCTTAATTAACTCTGCTTAGGCAAAGGTCACCTGAATGTGCCCTTTCCTTCCTAAAGAAGCTTCATTTCTGTTTTGTTTCAGGTTATAACTCGTGTTTCTAAACAGCAACATCCCTTGTGTCAAGCCCTGAATGGCTCCCTCACCTCTAAGCTCCCTCCCACTAAATCCTACTGCTCAAAAGAACACCACAGTAGCCCAAGTATTTAATTTGCCATTCTTATGAAGAAGGAGGCTGGGGAAAGAGGAGGCAGGCAGGAGAGCAGCCAAATCCTGATTCTGAAGCCATGGCCTTCTTGCCATCTCAGCTGTGTCTGAAGAGAAGATGCTTGGAGTGCCTGCCACTTCGAGCTCCTCTCCTCCTCCATTAAGACCTCATGGTAAGACCTACAGTATGTCCATCTGAGGCCTTAGGTACCTGTAAGTTACCCCAGACTTTCCCACCCTTGTCTTTTCTCTTGATGGTTCATTCCCATGGACTCTGACTCCAAATGGGGATGGCTTGCTTGGAACAGGGGCCAGGGGCAGGCAGTGACTCTAAGGCCAAGGCCTTGCTAGGTTTCCATCAACTCCCACTCCACATGCACGCTGCATACTTTGGCTCTTGAGAAGGCGTGTCCTTACTGCCTTATCTGCACCGTCACACCCAGGCATAGGTCAGCCAGGCATGTGGGCTGGTTGCAGACCTGTAGCAGGGAGAAGAGGTCAGGAGTATTCTCAGAGCACCTCCGGCACTGCAGCATACTATGATGCAAAACATCCTAAGGGCCATGATTCCATGGGTGGCACAGGTGATCATGGAAACTCCTTGAAGAGTTTGCTGTGTAAAGATAAGTCTGTTTATGGAACACATAAGCAAATAGATAAAAGAATACATTCCACTGCAAAGCCAGCCCAGTGCTCTGCAGCTGAGATGAAGGGGCTCAGTAGCCTGGATGCCACAGCCCCCCTGCAAGAGAATTGCATGGCAAAGAAAGAAACACCATTCTTTCACAAGCAAATGAATTAATCACACAGTGTGAGAAAAGAATGAGAATGTATACATGTAAGAATGCATTAGACTTTGAGAAGGTGGTCATTCACAAAACTCCATGCTCCCAGTCAAAATGGACCCAGAAGGAACCTGTGGGACTAGCCTCACCTCTGCCAACTATAGTCACATGAGCAACTCAGCAGTAGCTCTTAGTAACTATCTACTAACAAGAAGCGTTTGATCAAAATTTTGGCACAGGAACCGCAAACAGAGAACTTAAGGCTCTATTGAACTTAAAAAGTTCCAAAGCTCATTGAGGGGAGAAATGGCCCAAACAATGTATGCACATGTGAATAAATGAATTAAAAAAAAAGTTCCAAAGCTCAGAACCACACACAGTCATTGCTGACCATAGGCTCCACAACAAGGCCTGCATTTACCACAAAGCAGGAAATCTGTAACTAAATGTCCTTGCTTTAAAGAATGGTTTAAAATTTATAATTTTGACAATTATAACATTCTTATTTTAGACAGTATGCTTTGGGGGTCTTTTCTTTATTTCCTAGTAAGTACACAGTGACTTTTATGTTCCTTCCATTAGTAAATAAAATCATCAAGAACAGAAAGGCATTGTTTCCCACAAAATATGGCACAGGACCTCAACTCTGATCAACGTTCCAAATAGTACTTCCCAGCCTCCCCACCGCTGATGAGCAGAAAGTTCACACCGCATCTGGAGGACTCCGAGGTAAACCATGAAGTCCTGTGACAACCCACTTGAGTCCCACGACCTCCAATATGGGTGGCAGAGCCCTGTGGGAACTGCTCTCCAGAATGCTGAATTGCTGGAAAGAGCAGATCTGCACCTCACAAACACCAGAGCACAGACACACATGCGCCCAGGGTACTAAGACAGGATAATTACAGAGTGACGGCCGTTCAAGACTGCTTTCAGATCAGCATTCAGTTTCAAGTGTAAACCTACTGTTTTATTATTTTACTTAATAAACATCGTTACTGGAACATTACTGAGGAAAAAAGTCTGGCTTCTCCTCCTGTCCTGAGGGCTCTACCCTGGCCTACTGCCCCAAGGAAGGCCCACCTCCTGTACATAGAGGCTCTCAGGGCAACTCAGTCATGATTCTTCTAAGGCTTTAGAAAATGCACAAGAGATTACGAGGTACCGAGGAAAACAAACAATGGATTGTTACAGTACATACATTCTGGTGGAAGTCTGTTCTTTCTAAAAGCAAGTCTCTCAGTTTTCTTTCTGCTTTCTGCCAAACTAAACAGGACTCCGTAAACATACTGACGAACTGGCCTATAGAGCAGGGCGGCCGGAGGCAGGTCTTTGTTGGCTTCATCTTCAATAGAAACAGCAATTTTGATTTCACCCTTTGCATGGAAGAAAGCAGAATAATATTGCACATTTTTCATGTTGAATTTACAACAAACTCACAGAAATATACTGCATTATCTCCATTAATGACATTGCAATTCTATTCCAAATCAATGGCTTAACAACTTGCCTATATCAAGATGTTTGGAAAACATCTTTTGGCAGTCTATGATCCAAAAGTATGCTCAAAGATGCAAAATAAACCCTACATTTTCAACACAAAACCAAGAACAAAAGAAAACCACAAAGATGATCCAAAATCTTTGAAACAATCTAGACAGATTAACACCAGACAACAAACAGAATAGAAAACATGCAACTTTTATTTATAGTCTAGATGGTCATATGTAATAAAATCTATCATTTACAATGACCTATATGCTATCCAAGGAATTGAGAATTCTGAAAATAAAATGGTCAGATTTCTTTTCCCAAGCTCTTTCATAAAAAATTACCACAAATTAAAAATGATCTGCCTAGTAGAACTGTGTTGTACACCTGCACCAGGCTTCTGCCATAGTGTGGCAGGTGCTCGATACACATCTCACTGTGGGTGAGGCCATGGTAGCTGTCAGAGCAGAAAAAAGAAGCACCTCACCTTACTCGTGTTCCACACTGATAATATTGGGCAAGAGTTTCATTTGGCTTAAGAACATCCCACCAAGAGACAAATGACTGTTGCCTTCAGCAGGTGAGATCATTACCAAAATTCTGTAGTTCCCTGTCATAGGTATTTTATGGCATCAAGATATTTTGCAAGGAATTCTATTTATGTATACCCGTCAAAATACACATGATCCTCAATGTCTGTTAAATTTATTGATACATTTCTTCTTCCTTTTTTGGGCAGTACTGGGGTTTGAACTCAGGACCTTTTGCTTGCAAGGCAGGAGCTCTACCACTTGAGTCATATTCCCAGACTCTTTTTTGCTTTTGTTATTTTTCCAAATATGGTCTGCTTTTATGCCTGGGCCTACTTGGGCAGCGATCCACCTACTTATACTTCCCACGTAACCGGGCAGACAGGTGTGCACCACCGAATCCAGCTTTTTTATTGGCTGAGACAAGGGTCTCTTCAATTTTTTACCCAGACTGGCCTCAAACCACAATTTCCTCATCACTGCCTCCTGAGTGGGTAGGATTACAGGTGTGTGCCACTGAGCCAGGCAGTATGTTCTCTTAATAATTTTGTGTAACATTTGCTCTTTCACATGAATTCAGCTTCAAATTGGCTTTCCTTTTATCCTCAACACTTTGAATCCAGTAGCTGCATGTATTCTAACACTCTCATCTAGGGAATACTCTCATTATGATGCTTTGATAATTCTATGTCACCACAAAGCTTTGTGTCACTGCAAATGCCACAGCTGGCTCATAGGAAATAGTATGCATTACAGTCTAAACTTTTCCCTAAAATATCAAAAAAGTAGCATTTTAAAATCTATAAAAGACATCAAGTTCTCTTTTCTCTATCAGTCATTTTGTTAATATAAGAAGAGTGCTGGTATAACCTGTACCCTGTTACGGATCTAGCCAATTGTTCAGATGTCAGAACTGGTGGAATGGATGCAAAGCAACAGGTGACTCCAGGGCCCCATAGGTCTTAAACAGCTCCATGGGGAAAGGGTGCTGTCTCTATACATGGTATTTTGAAAGATGACTTCCCAAAACTTGTCTCTTAAATTTACAAAAATCTTTTTCTCACACCAGAAACTTTCACTCTTTATGATTTATGTTGAACCTCCAAAGTAATATTTACCTTACAACCACAGTCTGAAAAGTGGTACTATTCATGCATGCACATAGAAAACAGTAACATGAGATTTGGAGGCAGTTAAAACTAAAATAAGAAAGTGCTAATAAATAGTACTGGTTAAATATTCTTTGTGTCCTTTAATTGATAAAGGTAAGCAAAGCTAGATTAACAAATCAACAGTCCACCTCATGAGCAATGTAGAATAGGAGTCTTTTGCACTTACCGACTCCATTTTACAAACCACAGATGGATTGTCGAAAATAGACAGAAAAAAGATGGTGATTTAGGTACTGAGGAAAGCAAGCAGTACAAGATTGCAATAAACCAACTCTGCATGATGACTATCACTGAAGCAACTTGTGCTAACATAAAAACTACAAATCATTAAAGAATTTTAAATACAGTGATGCATTTGAGACAAGATTAAAAAAACAATTCCACACTATATGTATATATTTAACTGCACATTTGGTAAGACACTGATGAAGTAAAATTGTAACACGTGAGTAAAATGATAATTGCATTTTCTGACTATGCCCATGGTAAAATCCTGTATTCCATTTTTTTGCTCTTACCGCTATTAAAATTGCTCTGAATGAGGTAGATGAACAGGTCAAAATGCATGAAGCCACTCAAAAGGGGACACATTATTTTCTAAGAACAAATGGCAAATAAATCAGGTATTGTATCTGGTATGTGAATTTAACCTAGCATTATGGTACAATTATGGTGTAAAAAATTCTGAAGTTGACATAAGAAAATAAAATTGTAAGTCATAAAATAATGGGATCCTCAATATTTCATCAGACATTTCAAAAATGTTTTATATTAAGTTGAAGGGAAAATCGAGACTTTATACAAGTTTATTTTTTAACTGCATTTATACTGGTGCAATTTTTCATCTTTTGTTTAATGTTTAGAAAAAGGAAACTGAAATTTAGTCCAAATACTTTAGGAAGGTACTAAAATGGTTCACAAAATGAAAAAGAACACCTGCCAAATAAAAGAAGCCACCCCAGGGCCCCTGGATAATACCTTCGTTAGGACATGGAAGATGTAGGGATACATCAGCCCCTTCTTGTGCCTGTGCTCGGCCACTCTCAAAACCTCAGGTGCGACAGGGGGCAGAGGAGGTGTGGTGATGTCCATGTGGTTCCTGGTGGGCATCGACAGGAGGCACGGGATTGGCTGCACAGTGCCCATCTGGCTTCCTTTCCCTTCAGCTAGCTGGCTTCCTGAGGAGGCAGTGGATGAACCTTCTGCCTATACAACAAAAGGCAGGAGAGGGAAAAATGAGTTCATGTCCCGTCTCCACTATCTCAAGTGGGCCAGGTGCTTGCCCACCTGCTAGCCATACAGGGTACAGAGATGACTCCTGGCTGGAGAGACCAGATTTAGTGCTAACCTAAAGATCAGAGAACACCCTGAGCTGATCCCTTTGTTTGACCACCTGATAAACAGAAACACCATTGACACCACAGGCCAGAGGACAGCCTGTGTGCTCTCAGCTTCCCTGTGTCTCTGTTCATGACTCAGTGTTGGGGTGGAGGGCTAGGAGGCTCATCTCAGGAAACAGCTCCAGTACCCTCCTGCCAAACTCCTCCCTTGGGGACTCCAGCTCTCTGTGGGTGCCTTACTACTTTGCTTGGCTCTTGTTTACCATCACCATGTGGTCTGGTCCTGTGTTTCTGTTTTCATTGAGATCTTGCTATAATCTCTACAGATGAGGAAACGTGCACTTAGAGAGGCTATGTAATTTACCCATAATTATGTAACTAGTAATGTGTGGTAACTAGATTCATATAAGTTTTGCTCTTCACTGCTATAGCCAGTATAAACTAAAACCCAACTCAAGTATCCTCTGTAGTCATTACAAAATTAATTATATACAGGCAAAACTTAAGCAAAATGATGACAAAAAACACCACAATCCCTCTATCCCAAATCAAGCTAATACCAAAAGCAATGGTTCAGATCTATTAACACCAACACGTAAAGATGCGAATAACGTATTGCTAAGTGGAAAGTGTCCATTCTGTAACAAACACCCACCAAAACAAGGGGTGAATATACAGAACTGGAAAGTATCTAACTCAGTCCCAAAGAAGTCCCAGGCAGCGGTGCAGAGAGGAAGGCAGAAGGGAGATGCCGTGGCATAGTCTGAATCATCTGAGTAATTGTCCAAAAGTAATTATTATTTGCACAATAAACTTTTTTTCTTGATTGCAATAAATGTCAGAAATGAGAAGAGTTTACTGCTTGATTTTTTTTTTTCTTTTTAGAATGTCACCCTGAAGACATATATGGTTTTCTGTTTGGGAACAAAATGTTTCATTACCAGGATATGCAATTAAGTGCTTAATTTTATCCTTTAATATACAAGTATAAAAATTGGTCTTAATAACTCATGGATAATTCACAGGTGTTTTCTAAACTTTCCCTCTTTCATAACAGTATAGATAGAAAACAATTTGAAGTGCTTTGCTTTCAAAGCAAAAGTTCTTTGAAAACAGCTATTCACAAAGTATTTTCTGTTGCTTATTTTCAGGGAAATTATTCAATAGTAAGACTATTTAGGAGTTTTAAATGAATTGCTGGCATTCTGATGACCCTGTGTGTAACCAGGGACTATAGGTGGCAGATATGGCACTGCAAATTAAAATGGTACTTCTATAGTCCCAGCTACTTGTGAGATGGAAATTGGGAGGATTTTGATTGAGGCCATCCAGGGCAAAAAGTCTACAAGATCTCTTCCCAATCAATAAAAGCTGGGTGCATTGTTATGTGCCTGTCATTTCAGCTATATGCCAGAATCATCACAGGAGGATCATATTGTAAGCTGGCTAGGGCAGAAATGCAAGTCCCTACTTGAAAAACAGCTATAGCAAAAAGGGCCGGGAGCATGGGTCAAGTAGTAGAGTGCCTGCCTGGCAAGGGCGAGGTCCTGAGTTCAACTCCAGGATGGATGGATGGATGGATGGATGGATGGACAGATAGATAATAGATAAAATTTCTAGAGATCACTATTAGCAGGTAGAAGTAGATAAGAAGGGAGAGATGGAATTTAATTTGTTTCCATTTTCACAAACCACATTCCAAGTGCTTTCTCAGCTAATCCTCTAAAAGCCCCTAAGACAGGCATGCAGGAAGCCTCAGACACCTTGTCCCAGAGGGGAGGGTGTTGCACCAGGTGCCCACACTTTGCTGAGTAAGACGAGAAGGTTGGGGCAACTCTGAAAGCTTCATCCCTCACCTTTCCCCTTTGGAGAGGTATATTGTGACTGGTGACATGCTTGGGAGAAAGAGAATTTTCTGTAACTTGACCACTGACACATGTACCCAGAATCAGAACTTAGAGAATAGAATGTGCAGGCCTTGTACCTTCACTTGGTCTCCTGGATCTCCCCGCACCTGTGGCTCCGTGTGGCTTCCGGTCTTCTCCCAGCCAATCTTGTTCCCGGTGATGTGGCTGAACATAAAGTGAACATGATACTGTGATTACTGTGGACTAATACCCCAAACAAGCTTAGAATGAAAGATGGCCACAATTAACTCTGCAAACTTATAATAAAAACAATAGTAATACCTTCTGTGCTTTATTAATCTTATGTTACCCCCAAGAGATTATGTCCACAAATAATTCTATTACAGAAATATTTCTTCTGCTTCAAAGAGGTGGATGATAACCACTTATTATGCAAAGAAAACTATTAAGCACTAACTTAGGAAGCAGTTCAAAGATGCACTCAGCACACAACAGAGGGTGCTGAGGAAACACAGGCAGGCCTTGCCTCAAAGGAGCTTCTGGTGTTTAAGGGAAATAAGAAAAACAATCACATGGCTAGGCGCCAGTGGCTCATGCCTATAATCCTAGCTACTTGGGAGGCAGAGACTAGGAGAACCTCGGTTCAAGGCCAGCTCAGGTAAACAGTTCACGAGACCCCCATTTCCAAAATAACCAGAGCAAAATAGACTGAAGATGTGGCTCAAGTGGTAGAGCGCTTGCTTTGTGATTGCAAAGCCCTGAGTTCAAACTCCAGTCCCACTAAAAAAAAAAAAAAAGTCACATAATTTCATCATTTAAGGGGGACTTCTTAGGCAGGAGTCATAATTTATAAGTAATTGTTAAGGTAGCAACATACATATAGCATCTCTAGTCTTCACAGAGGTCCCACAGCCAAGGCTGGGGACAATGTAGCGTGAACAATGAGGAAGGAGGGAGAATTGTGCTGAAGGCCAGAGAAGATGGGTGAACTTGCTAAGATCAGAGAACAGAGAGTAAAGGGGAAGTTATTTGGAGAAAAGCTTTACATAGCAAAGTGGTTTAAAAGAAGAAGAAAGGAACCAGGGTGGGAAACCTGATGGGGCAGCTAGGATGATACATTTCAACCAGCATCTTTTAAACCTCATTGTGACCACTGGCAGCCTGGGAAGTGTTTAAGGAGTATTTTAAAATACTGAAGTGGGGAACAGAAGTAGTAATCTGAAGAAACATCACCTCAGAGATTCTTTGTTCAGTTGTGTTCATTGGCCACACACTAGCAGGGCAGTTTACCATGGGACCCCAACAAAGGACAAAGATGCTGCCTTGTGGGCGGCAGAAACCTGAGGGCCTATTGAGACTGAGCTATTCTGTCATTTGGAAAACTAGGAACAATCATGGCTCAGGGAGTTTTGGGACATCTGCCACAGAATCTGGATGGAAGGCAGCCATAAGAGAAGGTCTTAAAGAGTGGGGGAGGTCTGATATCCTGCTGACATGTTTAAGCAGTGGGGGACTCTTGGCCAATGAAGCCACAGCAGTTGGGAGGCTCAGCTCTCCCTGGTGTGGTACAAGCCCCACTGCCTGAGGGTCACAGTGAAAATGGAGTCAAATTATTTCTATTTGCAGACAGTATAATTATATTTTGCCAAATAGCAGGATACAAGTATCAATGTACAAAAATCAGCACCTTTTCTATATACGAACATCAACAGGCTGAGAAAGAAATCAGGATAACAAGCCCATTCATAATAACCACACCCACACCCACACCCACACACACCCACACACATACACACAAAGATAACACACACACACATACATACAAAGATAAAATAGGAACAAACTTAACTAAGGAGGTAAAAGATTTCTGCAATGAGAACTGTAAAACTTTAAAGAAAGAAAGAAATTGAAGAAGACATGAGAAGATGGAAAGACTGCCCATGTTCATGGATTGGCAGAATTAATATTGTGAAAATGACTATACTACCAAAATCAATCTACAGATTCAATGCAATTGCCATCAGAATTCTAATGTAATGCTATTTTTCACAGAAATACAAAAATAACCCTAGAACTCACGTGGAAGCACAAAAACTTCAAATAGCCAAAGCAATCCTGAGCAAGAAGAGCAATGCTGGAAGTATCACAATACCTGACTTCATCAGTGTCCCATGCCAGAGCAAACTGTACCTTAGAACCACTGTCTGGCCTCTGCCTGTAGACTACTCGCACTGAAGTGGGTTAAGGAGACAGTAGGGGCAGAATGGAGCCACAGAAAACAAAAAAAGCTTAGCACTGACACAAAAACAAATGCGTAGACCAATGGAACAGAAGATCCAGAGATAAGCCCCCATATTCACAACCATCTGATTTTCCACAAAGGTGCTAAAACCATACATTGGAAAAAAAGATAGTCCCTTTAACAAACAGTGTTGGGAAAGCTGGATAGCCACATGTAGAAGACTGAAACCAGATCCCTTTCTCTCACTCTGTACAAAAAAATCAACTCAAGATAGAACAAAGGTCTTTTTTTGTTGTTGTTCTAACCTCTACTGAGGTTAGAACTCAAGGCCTCACACTTGCAAGGCAGATGCTCTACCACTTGAGCGACTCTGACAGCACTTTTTTGTGATGGGTTTTTTTGAGATAGGGTTTCATGAACAATTTGCCAAGGGCAGGCTTCAAACGGCAATCCTCCTGAGCTCTGCCTCCTGAGTGACTACAAAGGTCTTAACATAAGACCTGGAACTTTGAGGAAAAATCAGGGAAAACATCTTAAGATATAGGCACAGGCAAAATACTTTCTGACTTCAATTGCTCAGGAAATAAGAACAAGAATTAGCAAGGATTGCATCAAATTAAAAAGCTTGTGTACATTAAAAGAAACACCAGAATCCAGAGGAAGCACAAAGAATGGGAGAAAAATCTTTGTCAGTTTTTCATTGGACAAATAATTAATATCCAGAACATAAAGAGCTCCAAAAATTAAACACCAAAAGAACAACTAACCCAATTAATTAATGGGCAAATGAACTGAACAGACAGTTCTCAAAAGTAGTAGTACAAATGCCCAATACAAGAAGAAATGTTCAACATCCTAAGTCATAAAGGAAACACACATCAACTGCCATTGACACTCCATCTCATCCCTACCAGAATGGCTATCATCAAGAAAACGAACAACAAATGCTGGCAAGGATGGTGGGGGGAGGGGAGGAAGAACCCTGATTGAAAGAAATGTAAATTAATACAGCCACTAAGGAAATAAACATGGAGGTTCCTCAAAAAAATATAATTTGAACTACCATGTGATCCTGCTATGCCACTCCTGGCCATGTATCTGAAGGGAAGTAAGCCAGCATACAACAGAGACACCTGCACTACTCACAACAGCCAACCTATGGCAACAGCCTAGGTGTCCATCAAACAGATGTATGGAAAAAAAAAAAGTGGTAGGAGCACCCAAAGGAATATGAGCCATAAAGAATGAAATTATGTCATATGCGAGAAAATGGATAGAACTGGCAATTACCATGTTAAGCAAAATAAGCCAGACTGAGTAAGCTCTCTCTTGTATGCAAAATCTAGATATAAAAAGGAAAGGTATGAGTATAAAACAGGCACTGTTTGTTGAGGGGGAGGGAGGGAGCAATTGTGGGAGAAGTGGGGGGAAGAAGAGGAGGATGAAGGGGATGAGCATCATCAAAGCACTTCATATACACATGAATGAAAACAACATAGTTAAACCCATTACAATTGTTTTTAAAAGGGGTAAAGGGGTAAGAAAGAGTAATAGGGGATGAGTTTGACAAAAGGACGTTATATGGATGTATGGAAATATAGTGAAAACCCTTTATATAAGTAATATACACTAATTTAAAGGGCGGGGGACTGAAAAGGCCATCCCATACATCTTAAACCAAGAGTGCTATCCCAAGTGATGATATTCCAGCTGAGGACATCACAGGCCCAATGTGAAAAGGTTGTCACTATGTTCAGGGTCCCCAGTGAGAAAAACCACTGCGTTGTCCAAGGTCACTACTGTGTACAAACTCAGGTGCACATTAACAAGTAAGAGAAAACCCTAGCAATGGCCAGGAGGAATCAAAACCAGTGCAAGCAGCCCTGGAGAGTGAGGGTCCACCCCACTGCACAGTAAAGAGTACAGCTCTGACAGCTGAGTATGAGAGCTGGAGAAGGGTCCAGAGACAGACCCTTGTCAATGACTTGCAGAAGGTGTGCTGACTGGATTTCAGTAAGGGAACCAGCCACTCTGAAACTGCTGTGATGTGACACTTGCAGCAGCAGGAAAAAGAAGATCAATTACTCATCACCCTTAGTGTATGACAATCCTGGCATAAAATTGTGCTCATATCTTACATGACATGAAGAACAGCGCAGGTTTGAGAAACTGCAGTGAAGCCTAAGAATCATATGGAATGGAGTACTCACTAAGCATGCAGATTCCAGGGCTCCTGGGGTGCCTGAGGTTGCCTGAAGATGAGGACCAGGGTAGTGGGCACGGAAGGCTGTGCATTAGGAAAGTGTTAGTCCAGGAGGGGATGCACCTCACTGCTGACTGGAGCTGAGGCACACTGCCACATCACTGGACACCCTGCAGAACCCACACTTGCCCGTTTTGTTCTATGCAGACCATCAAACTGAAAATAAAATAATGTCACCCTCTGGATGTTCTTAGGACTTTCTAATGATCATACTGCAAAATCTAAAAGTATTCTTTCCAGAAAGCCCATTTTTAAGCAGCCCAATACACTTTGGGAGGGTAGCCATTACTTTATAACTTAAGAAAACAAAATACCTTGCTTTGAAGAACAAATGGTATAGAATTCTTCTGTATGCATTTTTATTTCATTTTATATAACTGATAACATCTTAAAATTGTTCTTAGAACCAGCTATCTCACCTACTAGTGCCAGGCCTCTGTGGAAGTGGACATGTCATGTTATGTGCAAGAGGGTGGCTCTCTCTGAATCTTAACCATGCCCCCAAAATATGTCTCATGATAAAATTCCGACTCAGAGAGAAGGAAACTATACTCATTTAAAAAAAAGGGAAAAAAAGGCACACCACATGCAAGAATGTAGCAAGTGAGCAACAAAAGATCCACCCTGGCCCCAAATGCAGGGAAGCCCAGCGGGACACAGGGCAGGCTTTTGCAAGTTGTCAGAGAGCTACTTTAAGGC